TCCATCACCCATTCTAACCCGTTCGACCAAACACGCCTAATCCGCAAGCAAATGAATTGGAAGGAACCTTGCATGTTTTTTTTTTCTTTTTATTTTTTGTGTAATTGATATGTTTATGCTTTCAATTTGTAGGTGTGAACACTTGAAACCAAACTTGAGACATTGTACGCCTTTAACATGTCATGTTGATGTGCCCTTGTTAGGATTGTTGTGCCACTAACTCTTTGTGCAGGGAAATTCATGGGAGTTGAGATCGTGAAGTCAAGAAAGAGGACTGTTGCAGGAGAATTTTGAGATACATGTTGTCAACACTGGGAAGGATTCTTAAACCTTATGCTTAAATTGAGACCTTTGTCTGCTTCTAAAGTGTAGAAAGGTTGTGGTTATGTATATGTGCATTGTATTTCCCCCATTCTTTGCCTTTAAAGTGTGGAAAAAGCTATATTTGTGATTCACCCATTTTATCTTTTATCCCCATACCCTTGTGCTTATAACACCGATTGATAGTGTTCATTTTAAAGAGTGGAAAGGGGACCTACTCGTTGGGAGGGGGTGGAGGTACTCATCCAGCCTCTGTGATCAGGGCACGAGGTCCGACCTCGCTCGCCACCTGACAGAAGAGCCTAACAGCCCATGTAACACCCTAATTTTTAAAACTTTTAAAGCTTATGGAATAGAGGCAAATCTATTATTAATTCCCAAACAGAGCATAAACTAAACATAGTAGTCGGGGTGCTATGCCACATCTGAGCTGGAGAACTCAGATGCACATGCTAAACTAACTAACAAGGCATGAACCATAATTAATACCCAAATACAAATCAAGGCACGCAGGTCATCTCATTAGGGCTAGAACTATCTAAACTAAGTCCACGAATCCAACTAGCGCGCTTCGAAGCTACTCAACTGTCCTGAAAAACATTCGGTGTAACAACCATCAGCGAATAATGCTGGTAATCCACTCCAATGCGTTAAGTACAATATAGGTAGATATAAGAAACTCATTTTGAAACTGGAATACATATATACTTACCAGACTCTAGTTTAAATCCAAGATCAAGATTCAAGATACATTAACAAACTCAACGGTGTAGAATAATCATAAAGACTAACATGAGTCCTAAGAACACGTTGCAAGGCATAGCAGACAGATAAGCATATAAATAGCAAATAGAGACAACAAGGGAATTCAAGGCAATCAGTTAACAAGTAATCAACAAGCACACAATCCATCTTCCAACCTTGTAGCTCCCCTCCGTCCTTATATCAGGTCCAACCTATACCTCCAGGCCACCCTTATATTGCCTCCCCTTATTCCTCCAGGCAACTACATGCCCCCACCGACAAACCACCTATCAACCACCAACATATCAAGATGATCTCGCAGTTCCATTCACATGATCCGCACCTCTAGTGCCAATATCAAGGGGTTAGCGCATATAGCTCTAACATGACACCGCAGCACTTATAACCTGACCCACGCTCAACGACAGGCTAGTCGAAGGTGGGTTTGTGCCCTTAGCACAGTAACGGCTATGGCTTTTACCTTTAGTACAATGACTGGGCACAAGTGGTGCCAACCGCCTACAATTCATTTCCACCAATCACAATCTCATCATCATCATCATAATCATTCACACCGGCCATTGCGCAATGACCATGATACTCATCACCATTTAATCAATCAACACATAATCAAATAACAATCAAGACACAACAGCAATGACACGTACTACACATAAATTCCTAGAACGGTATTCAAAACATTAAACGAGACTCATACACGACGAACGGGGTACAATGGGACACAACGGGACACGGGGAAACATCAAACGGGGAAAAACATCAGCTGGTGGGCGGCGGGTGAGGACCACCCGCTGGCGGCGATCACCCTTTCCAGCGGGTGCCCGCCGGCTGCCCGCTGGAAAGAAGCTTAAGCAGCGGGTAGGTGGCGGGCACTCCTGCCCCGCCCTACCCCCCCACTGACTCACAGGCAACTTTCGGTCCCTGGATCTCTCGTGGAACCCAAAACCATGTCCAGACACATTCAAACACATAACGACAACACCACGTATTCAATTAACGGGATTAAATCAAGAATCACACCAAATACGTTCTAACACGATTCCTAAACATGCCAAGACCAATCATTAACCATATAACACTTCAGGAGCATCCGAAACCACAAGAATATCAAGAAATCTATATGCAAAGTCCTAAACACAAGTCCTAGGCTAGACTCAACACCCGATCATTCATAAACCCACCCAAATATACCAAGAGCATCATAATACGAAGTCCACGATATTAAACCCTAGGGCTCTAGACCTAATTAAAATACGAGATCATACATATAATCAATCATTCAAGAACATCAAGATTATCACATAAACACAATATAAATCCTAGGCAAGGCTCTATCAAGACTCAATCACAGAATTACACATACGATTATCAAAGGAGCCAATAAATAAGATATAACAAGGAAAATAGTTTTTGTCGAGACATGGGTTACCTGTTAGCCTTAATTAATCCTCCCTTGGCTATTAAGGTTCTTCTCTAAGATTTCCCTCTGATTGATCTCCCTAGGCTTGGTGATGGGGAATCTCTCGGGGACTAATTTCGTGTAATACAACTATGGGTGGTAAGGGTTCTAATTGCTTTCTAATCCCCTATTTATAGAGTTAGGAATCCTAATCAGAGTCTGAATAGTAAAGACCTACATTATATTCCTAACAGGTATATAGGTCTAGGATTCCTAATTAGAATCTGTGTAGTAAAGGCCTACTATCTTTATTCCTAATAGGTCTAGGATTCCTAATTAGAATCTAAATAGTGGAAGGTCCACTCTCTTTATTCCTAATAGGCTTAAGACTCTAGTTTAGCAAAGAGTCCACGATCCATGGTGGACCACATTAATTAATTCAAGGGAATCCTAACCAAATTAAATTCTTTTTAATTATTATTAACGGAATTAATTAAATAATTAATCCAGGATTAAAGGTCGTAACACGGGGTGTTACAGCCCAAGTCCTATTGACTTGGAGTCGAAGGGCTACCCTAAGGAGGGCACGATTTCCGACCTCGCTCGCCACCTAATGAAAGAGCCTAACGGCCCAAGTCCGATTGACTTAGAGTCGAAGGGCTATCCTAAGGAGGGCACGAGGTCCGACCTCGCTCGACAGAAAACAGAAGAGCCTAACGGCCCTAGCCCGATTGACTTGGAGTCGATGGGTTACCCTAAGGATGGCACGAGGTCTGACCTCTCTCGCCACCCGATAGAGGAGCCTAACGGCCCAAGTCTTGATTGACTTGGGGCCGAAGGGCTACCCTAAGAGGGGCACGAGGTTTGATCTCGCTCGCCACCTAACGGAATGGTTCTCGGACCAAGGGGTACCCTTGACCGAGCAACCACGCCTACCTCAATTAAAAAAAAAATCAAATTGCAAAGCTAGTCCATGGCAAGAGGTCCGACCTCCCGGAAGAGCCCAAGTCCCAGGCCTAGGGTCCCCGTACCACCGCCCCCCCCCCCCCCCCCACCAGAACCTGTTGAACGCCTTCTCAAGAGTGTCACAAACACGTACAGGCAACAAATAAATCGACATGGTAAAAATCAGGAGCGCTTGTGCTATGCTCTTTAGAAGGATTTCTTTTCCCGCACGGGATAATAATTTATGTGTCCACAATCCAATACGAGCCCGAACATTTTCCTCAATGTAACGAAAGCAAGCAGTCTTGTTACGTCCCAGTACTAACGGGAGGCCCAAGTAGCGTCCCAGGTCCGTAGCGGTTCGGACTCCCACACAATCCGTGACAAGCTGTCGGCTATCCGCACTGGTATTGGCACTGAAAACCGCACTTGGTTTATCAAAATTTATAAGCTGTCCCGAGGCCAAGCTATAAGAGTCTAAGCAAGATTTGACTTTTAAAGCTTCGTGCTGGGTGGCCCTGAAAAATAATAAACTGTCGTCAGCGAAGAAAAGGTGAGTGATAGCCGGGGCACCCCGGGCTACCCTCACCCCGTGAATATCACCCCGGGCCTCTGCCTGTTGCAAAAATATTGAAAGCCCCTCCGCACATAAAATGAACAGATAAGGGGACAATGGGTCCCCTTGTCTTATTCCACGGGTGGGACAGACATGGCCCACTGACACCCCATTCACCAGGATAGCATATTTCATAGTTGAGACACACACCATTAATAAATCCACCCAGTCCCCATCAAAACCCAAAGCCCGTAACATCCCCTCCAGAAAAGAACATTCCATCCGGTCGTACGCTTTGGCTATATCTAGCTTTAGCGCCGCCGAACCCAAGTCCCCATTTGTCTTTCTTCTCAGAAAGTGACCAATTTCACCGGCCACGATTATGTTGTCCGTTAGTAGTCTCTCAGGTACAAAAGCACTCTGCTACTGTGACACGACATGTTCCAAAACCCCTTTAGGTCTGTTTGCTAGCATTTTCGCTAGCACTTTGTACACCACATTGCAAAGAGCAATAGGGCGCAAGTCCGAGACTTTTTCCGGGGTCTTTTTCTTCGGAATTAAAACAATATGTGACTCATTGAGCCCCGCGGGGAAAGTCTTGGTTTCCGCGCACCGAAGTATGAACATGGACATATCATGGCCCAGTACCGGCCAGAAATGCTGAAAGAAGGCCGGGGACAAGCCGTCCGGTCCCGGCGCTTTCTCAGGCGCCATATCAAACAGAACAGTTTTAACTTCTTTAACCGTGTACGGCTGTAACAACGTGATATTCATCGCATTTGTTACGCGTTGCCGGACATGTCTAAAAAGATCAGGACTGCTAGGGCCAGAACAAAATATATGATCAAAGTACCTGAGAATTTCCGTGTTCATGTCCGCCCCTTCCACCCATGTCCCTTACTGGTCCTTAAAACGGGTGAGCGTGTTTCCTCTGCGCCGAGAAGCAGCAGCGTTATGGAAGTATTTCGTGTTGGCATCCCCGTGTTTCAACCACAACTGCTTCGATCGTTGCATCTAGAAAATTTCCTCTTCCCGAATCAATTTTTGCAACTCCCTTTCTACTTCCTCAAAACCTGCCACCCCAGTAGGTGACCGGTCCTCTTTCAAGCACTCCAACACCTGGCGGAGTGATCTCATCTTATTGCCAAAGCGCCGGAAGTGTTCGCCCCCCCACCGCCCAAGATGTGCACTGCAAATAGCGAGCCGGTCCTGGAAATTTTGGCCCATCGACAAGAGCCATGCCTCTTCAACAACCATCGCACATCCCTCCTCCAAGAGCCAGACGGATTCAAATTTGAACGAGCGTGCAACATTGCGGACCGGTGTCAAATCTAACTCAACAAAAAGTGCATGATGGTCCGACTCGAGGGTGTATATACAACTGAACACTGCCTCGCCATGCATTTCCAACCAATCCAAATTTGCCAACGCCCTGTCCAGTCGTTCCTCCACCCATGCTTCAGTTCCACGGCCTTTTACCCATGTAAATCTACCCCCCGTCATCCCCAAATCATGTAATTGACAATCTCCCAAGGCATCATTAAAGCCTTCAATAAGCGAGGCTGGGTGAGAATGCAGACCCCTTTTTCTGATAAACAAGAAATATCATTAAAATCTCCCGCGACCATCTATGGAAGCGGGGATTTTTCCTTTAGTTGGCGTAACAAGTCCCAAGTAACATGTCGCTGTGCCCGATCAGATTCCCCGTAGAAGCATGTAAGCCTCCACTTAGGTTTCCCCGGAATGGACACTTCCACATCAATATGGTTGCAAGAATAAGATAACAGGTTTACCACGTCCGAGTCTCGCCAGAACAGCGCGAGACCTCCTCCTCTGCCTACACGATCCACACACAAAACTCCCTCAAAACCCAATTTCACACGAACCTCTTCTACCTTTGTATCGAAAGCTTTTGTCTACATTAAGAAGACACTGTAACACCCCGTGTTACGACCCCTAAAACCAATTAATTATGTAACCAATGACCCAAGAGAAAGAATAAATTACAATAATTAAATAGGGAAAAGGCCCACCATAGTCCGTGGGCCCTCATCTCTAAACCCAACCGCTAGTCCTAAAAGGATTAGATCCTAAATAAGACCCTTAGATATATAAATAAGGAACCTAGAAGGCACCTAGAACCCCCACCACAATAAGCTCTCACCACCCAAAGAGTTCCAAGAATTCCCTTAGAAGAAATCAAGAAAGCAAGAAAGCTTAAAGAAAGACCCTTCATAGCCAAGGAATTAATTAAGGCTAAGAGGTAACCCATGTCTCAACAAAACCTATTTTCATAGCTATGTTTCCCCTCTTAGTATTTCCCCCATATTCTTGTGAGATTGATGATTTGTTATAATGATCTTGATAATTGGTATTATGATTCCATGGGTGATCTTGATGTTCTTGAGAAGTTCTTGATGATTGAAAGGTGTTCTTGATGTTCTTGATGATTATGTGATGTCCTTGATGATTATATGATGTCCTTGATGCTTATGTGTTATTTCCTACCGAATCTTGATATTAAAAGATGAATCGTGTTCTTGTTGATTTAAAAAGTAATTAAGAACCCTAGGTTATATCGTGAGATTTGTGTGGTATTATTCTTGGTATATTGGGCGGGAATTCGCATGATTGGGTGTTGTTTATATTTAGAAAAGCATGTTAGGATATGTGTCGTATGTTTCTCGATTTCGATCCGTTAATTGCCTACGTGTTGTTGTCAATTGCGTTGAAAGTGTCTAAGCATGGCTTCGGGTTCCACAAAGGTTTCCGGGGCGTTATTGATGAAAAAGAGTCAGTGGGGGCTAGGTGGGGGTAGGGGACCCGCCACCTACCCGCGGCCAAAAAGGGCAGCTCCGGCAGCGGGCAGCCGGCGGGCGGGCAGCTGCCCGCCAGGCACCCGCTGCCCGGAACTGTAACGCCGGCGGGTGAACCCTCACCCACCGGCTACCCGCTGGAAAGTATCCCAACCCGGGATTCCGGCTTCCCCGTTTGATGTTCCCCCGACCCCCGTGGTGTCCCAACGGACCCCTCCTATCGTGCCGATGTCTAGTTCGATGTGCGGATACCGTTCGTAGGTCGAATGAGTCTTGTACATTGCATACTAGTTGAATTGGTATCCCGTTGACCTAGGTATAAGAAGTATGAACCCCTTAGGAGTATTCTTAGTTGTGGATGACCACGCATAGGTTTCGTTATACGTTTCCTCCTTCCCAATGTGTTAATGTGGGTTGCATGTGCTTGCTATGTGTTATGTGTGCATGTTACCCCGATTTAGTTGAGATCAATCGGGCTATACGGGCAGTCGGATGGGCTGAGAACCATACCGGCTGTTAACCAGGCTGGTAGAGACTGGTCAGGTATATAAATATTATATAGGACAAAGGTCCACTATACGGGCAGTTGAATGGGTTGAGAACCATCCTAACTGTTAACCAGGCTGGTAGAGACCGGTCAGGTATATAAATATTATATAGGACAAAGGTCCACTATACGGGCAGTTGAATGGGTTGAGAACCATCCCAACTGTTAACCAGGCTGGTAAAGACCGGTCAGGTATATAAATATTATATAGAGCCGCGGTTCATCGGTCGGTTGCGATCGACCCCTCCGTGCTGTGAGACGGGGCAGGGTGCTGCGGGGCCATGTCAGAGCTATATGCGCTGACCCTCATGTATGGGCATGCGATTGGTCCTGTGGCGAAAACAAAGTGTGCTATATGATGAGATGAGAAGGATTGATGATATGACTGTTATGGAAACGTGACCATAGGGCTCTTGCTAGTAATGTTTAATTGTGATTATTGGTTGTGCTTATCTATAACTGTTTCCTATGTGAGAATTGTATATGCTTGATTATGACTGTTGATTGGGTGTACCCCTATTTGTCGAGTCGGTTCCCTGATTTGAAAGCTAGAGTCTCTTAGGATATATCTTCATGCTTCGAAATGACTTTTCGTATATCTATGTATATATATGTATACGTATTGTATTTCAACGCGTTAGAGTGGGTTACCAGCATCTCTCGCTGAACAGATATATTTGGCTTTCAAGCACAGAAGAATAAGTCACTGGAGCGCGCTAGATCTTGGAGCGTAGAAGTAGATAGTTTCCCTTTCGGCCCGCGTGCCATGTTATGCATTTACTTTATTAAGGATATTAGTTAGTTGGCCTGTGCACCTGAGTTCTCTAGCTCAGGTGTGGCACAGCACCCCGTACTCTTTATGTTACGTTTTTGGGAATTAATGAGATTTCACCTTTATTTTATAAGTTTTAAATGTCCTGAAAATCTGGGGTGTTACAGACACCATGCCCAAAAACTCTCGAACTGTCCGGGTGCCACCCAAACCCCCGCAGTTCCAACTAAGGAGGCTCATTGCTTTGGGCGAGCCTGGTCCACCAGACCCGCCTTCTCCAAGATTTTCGACGTCTCCGTCATCTGCACATCCATTGCATGCGGCCCGTCAGATAGGCCACCGTCCTCCCTCCTTCGTTTCAGATCTGCAAGTACTGCATTACTCTCCTCCATACCCGGCGATAAGCCTGTAACACCCCGTGTTATGAGTCCTAAAACCAATTAATTAATTAATTAATAGCCCAAGAGAAAGAATAAATTATAATGATTAATTAGGGAAAAAGGCCCACCGTAGCCCATGGGCCGTCCTATATAAACCCAACCCCTAATCCCAATAGGATTAGACCCTAAATAAGATCCCTAGATCTATAAATAGGGAACTTAGGAAGCACACAGAACTCCTCCCACAAGTCTAACGCCCCACCAACCCAAAAGAGCTCCAAGAATCCCCTTAGGAGAAATCAAGAAAGCAAGGAAGCTTAAAGAAAGATCCTTCATAGCCAAGGAATTAATTAAGGCTAAGAGGTAACCCATGTCTCAACAAAACCTATTTTCATAGCTATGATTTCCCCTTAGGGTTTCTCCCATAATATTGTGATTGGCGAGATATGATGATAATTATTGATGTTTGATGTGATGATCCCATGAGGGATCTTGATAATCTTGATATTGGGAGATTCTTGATGATTATGGAATTCTTGATGATTATATAGAGTTCTTGATGATTATGTGTTGTTCTTGATGATTGTGTGATGCTCTTGATGTTTATGTGTTATTATTACCGAATCTTGTAATTAGAAGACGAACCATATACTTGTTGATATAAAAGTGATTAGAACCCTAGGTTGTATCGTAAGATCTTATTCTTGGATTATCGGGTGGGGAAATCGCATGTTTGGGTGTTGATTATATTAGAAAAGCATGATAGGTTATGTGCCGTCGTTTCTCGTATTTGATCCGTTAATTGTCTACGTGTTAATTATTAGTTGCGTTGTAAAGTGTCTAAGCATGGTTTCGGGTTCCACAAAGGTTCCCGGGACGTTATTGTGTGAAAAGAGTCAGTGGGGGGTAGGGGACCCGCCACCTACCCACGGCCGAGAAAACACCGCCCGGCAGCGGTTTGCCGGCGGGCAGGCAGTTGCCCGCTGGCGACCCGCTGCCCAGAACAGTACACTCCGGCGGGCAGCCGGCGGGTGGCCCCCCACCCACCGGCTACCCGCTGGAAATTCATCCCACCTCGGGATCCCAGCTTCCCCGTTTGATGTTTCCCCTTTCCCCGTGGTGTCCCAACGGACTCCGTTTATCGTGCCTATGTCTAGTTTGATGTTTCGGGTACCGTTCGTAGGTTTATGAGTCTATTGTATTGCATGCTAGTTGAATTGGTATCCCGTTGACCTAGGTGGAAGGAGTATGAACCCCTTAGGACTATTCTTAGTATGTGATGGATCACACATAGGTTTTGTTATACGTTTTCTCCCCCTTCCTAATGTGTAATGTGGGTTGCATGTGCTTGCTATGTGTTATGTGGGTGTGTTACCCCAATTCGGTTGCGATCGGATTGGTTATCCTGAGCTGCGGTTCAGAAGCTGGCTGCGGTCAGATTGATACTCTTGGGCTGCGGTCCACCGTTTGGTTGCGATCAAACGTTTCTATACGAGCTGCGGTTCGTCCTTTTTCCTGGCTGCGGTCAGATGACATTCTCTTGGGCTGCGGTCCACTGTTTGGTTGCGATCAAACACTATGATGAGCTGCGGTTCATCGGTCGGTTGTGATCGACCCCTCCGTGTTGCGATACGGGGCAGGGTGCTGCGGGGCCGTGTCAGAGCTATATGCGCTGACCCTCATGTATGGGCATGCGATTGGTCCTGTGGCGCCAACAAAGTGTGTTATGTGTTGTGACAGGGACGAGTTGTGATTACGAGTGTCTTGGGGGATGTGACTATGGGATTTATATTGGGGATTGTTCATGTTGGGTTATGATCATTGTTTATGCTTTGCCTTATCTGCCTTATCTGTTGTGAACTGCATATGCTCGTTATAACTGTCGCTTGTGTCTGGCATTATCTGTCGAGTCATTCCCGGTTTTAAAGCTAGAGTTCGTAGGATATATCTTCATGCTCAAAATGGTTTTCGTATATCTATATATATCT